TTGCTTAGCTCCTTGCCATTGCTGAGACTGGCTTTGAACTTGAGGTCCTCTGGTCTCAGCCCCTGGAGCCCCTGGGATTGCAGGTGTGCGGCACCATACCCGGCTCACACTGCATTCTGTATTAAAAATGGTATTGTTGGAGGTAACTCCGTGTGAGTTTGTGAACTACACCATGAGGTGTTGTTGAGTGTATACCCTTATAGGCAAAATAAACAGCTTTGAATCCCAGAGCTCACTCATGAATGCTAGGTAAGCACTCTACCACTGAGCTACATCCTCAGCCCTTCTTTAAAAATTTTTATTTTAGCCTGGTGTGGTAGCACATGCCTGTAATCCCAGCAACTATGGAGACCAAGATAGGTAGACCTCAAGTTCAAGGCCAGCCTTGGCAATCTAGCAAGTCCCTGTCTCAAAATAAAAAATAAAAAAGGACTGGATGAAAAGTGGTAAAGTTCTGTGATAAAGTGCCCTTGGGTCCAATCCCTGTGGGAGACCAACCTCACATGTGACTGAGTTAACTCCCCTGCTGGGGCATGTGGCATCAGGCACCCATGCTGCTAGACTGCCAGGCTCTTCTAGGGTTCTAGGTCTTCTTGCCTGGGTGTGTCTTGCTACAGCCCCATGGGTGGAGCTATGCTCACCTGTTCCTTTGTAATATAACCCCTTGCCCCATTTAGGATAGAATCTTCCATGGAAGTGCCTTGTGTGTGTCCCCTTCTCTTATTGTGCCCTTGGGTGTGGCCTCCCCAGGTGTCAGTCAACCTGTTGACAGTGGACATCATGAAGACAGGCTCAGCCCCCTGAAACCTGACCCCTTGCCTCATTTGAATAGCTTCTCCTCAATAAAAGGGGTCAGCACAGCACCTGCTCTCTCTGTCTTCCTGGGGACCCTTAAGGTCAGAGGAGCCGTCACAGCAACCCCAAAGAAAAAGGTACTTGTGTCTCTTGCGTGGTTATTTTGCGCAGCCCAGTCAGCCCATTCAACTGGAGTGACCCCTGAGCGTTTTAGTGGAGAACAGAAACCTTGCAAATCCCCAGTACCAATACAACCATAAACAAACAAACAAATAAATGACTTTGAGACAAGCTCTCACTTAGTTTCCCAGCTAGCCTCAAACTTATGATCCTCCTGCCTCGGCCTCTTTTTTTGTTCTTTTTTTTTTTTTTGGTGGTGCTGGGGATTGAACTCAGGGCCTCACAGATGCTAGGCATTACCTCAACCTCTTGAGTCCCTGGGATTACAGGTGTCCGCCTCTGTGCCTGGCTGGATTTGGACACATTTGGATGTGACAGATTCTTTTTTTTTTTTTTAATATTTATTTATTTTTTTAGTATTTGGCGGACACGACATCTTTGTTTGTATGTGGTTCTGAGGATCGAACCCAGGCCGCACGCATGCCAGGCGAGCGCGCTACCGCTTGAGCCACATCTCCAGCCCCTGTGACAGATTCTTTGCTTGGTCAAACTTTATTCAGGTTTCTGAATCATCTTCTGGGCCTTTTTGTGTATTTTCTTATAAAGTCAAGTTTTAGCAAAGAACCCTACAAAGTCAATTTAGCAAGGACTCCATACTGTGGATATCGGATCATTGTCAGTATCCAATCAATTCCCACAGGTGAAGTCTGCTCGCCCCCGCCTGTCTTCAGGGAACATCCAGCTAGGTTGACTGAGCCAGGACACTCCTTACCCTTGGTAAAGAGCAATTTCCTCTTGGTCACTCCATCGACTGTCCCCCATAACCCGCTCCTTGGCTATAGCCGTTCACCATGCTGTATTGACTGGAGCCGGATCTCTGTCTCCTCTCTGCAGAACCCTATTGCAACAGTCCCGTACCCATTTCCACAATCCTAAGTGAAGTCTTCCTTCCCGCGCCTTAGCAAGTGTGATTGAATTTTTTTTTCCTTTAACATAGGCATGTATTCCAAATGGCATGGTTTGAATGTGGTTCATCCCTAAAGGTCTCCAGTGGCCATGTTAGAGGTGGCAGCAACTTTAAAAGGTGGGGGTGTATTGGGAGGTAATTAGGTAATTTGGGGTCACTGTGAGAAGGGATTAATGTAGTTCTGATGGGACCCAGTTTGTTCTCAAGAGAGTAGGTTGTTATAACAAGAGCAAGACTGGCTTCCTGTTCCTTGTTCTACCATTGCAATAGCAACCCCTGTGTCGCCCTCAGCACAGGGCTAACCAACAGGGATGTCCAAGCGTGGTCTCTCAGCCTCCAAAACTGTGTGAGTTTTCTTATAAGTAGCCAGCTTCAGGCATTTTGATATGGGAAGAGAAAATGAACTAATACACTAAACATGATAAAAAAAATATCAATTTTTTTTTTTTTGGCCAAGGTTAGCTCAGTGGTACAGCACTTGCATAGCTCTATCAGGAGTAAGAAAATAATATACTCAGGACAAATGATATGAAAGAAATAGTAGAATCTGTGTCTGGGATTGGGGTCGCTGGTAAACTGCATGATTGTGACCTGCTTGGTGACTAGGAAGTTTCTGTGCAAAGACACAGGAAGCCTGGCTGCTATAGCAATGTACTTTACAAGGAAACTCTGTGTTGGAGTCTTATCAGTTTCGACCTTCACCTCAGGCACACAGCTCCTGGGAATATAGGGACCTGTAGGTATTCTGAGGGTGGAAATGTACAGGGAAGCGTTTCTCTGGTGAGCAAACTCTGGGGCTGGGGGGGAACAGGTGCTCTGTCCTCCACCCTCGGAATGCCCAGCAATTTCTCTTTGAAGCTAGTAAGATAACTCTACAGGTGCAGTATCTAGTTACTATGGTAATGTCCTTAGAGAAAAGAGGGCTGTCTTAAAGGTCCCGGACTTTGATCTCAATTATCTGGCACCTGGGATTAAAGGAATACTAAATAATAATGTAGTCATGGTACTAAGGAGCTATGGAATTTTTGATATAAAGAAACCTGGCTGCTTGGAAGGACAGCCACTCTTTTTCTCTTCTTCCTGCCTCTGTATCTCGTCTCTGTGTCTCTTTTTATTTTCCTTATGGAAAGAAAAATCAGGAGAAAGAAAATGATACACTTAGGACAAATGATATGAGACAAATAGTAGAATCTGAGTGTTGACAATATCAGAAATTGTTGAATTTGTTCTGGAAAATGGTCAGGACTCGCCGAAAGGTCTCTTGCAACAATGAACTCATTATTTACCACTAGAGAACTTTGTCCTGGTCCTGCAGGGTGGAGGCTGGGGTGATGTGGGTTCAAAGTGTCATCTTTGTGTAGAGGTTACAATTTAATTCAAACTTGGGCCATCCAATGTCAGAGATTAAAAAAACACTGAATGGGTCACATAGTTCATCACAGTCACTCCTTTCCTTCCCTGGTGTATTTTTCTTCTTAGAAATAAAGAGGATAGCAGATTAGTGGTCTTCTGGTTCTGTGCCCTGTCCCAAGTCCTTTTAAATCTATTATTTATTTATTTATTTTTGCGTGTGTGGCACTGGGGATCAAGCCTAGGACTTTGTGAATACTAGGCAAATGCTTTATCACTGAGCTACACCCTCAGCCCTCCTTTGAAAAAACAAAGTTAGGGCTGGGCACGGTGGCGCAGGCCTGGTAATCCCAGTGGCTAGGGAGGTCGAGACAAGAGAATCACAAGTTCAAAGCCAGCCTCAGCCTCAGCGAAGTGCTAAGCAACTCACTGAGATTCTGTCTCTAAATAAAATATGAAACAGGCTGGGCTGGGGCTGGGGCTCAGTGGCAGAGCGCTTGCTGAGCACAGGTGAGGCACTGGGTTCAATCCTCAGAACCACATAAAAATAAAAAGTATTTTAAAAATACAAAATAGGGCTGTGGATGCGGTTCAGTGGTCCGTGAACTTTGTCCAGAACTTTGTCCTGGTCCTGCAGGGAGGAGGCTGGGGTGATGTGGGGTTCAATGTGTCATCTTTGTATAGAGGTTACAATTTAATTCAAACTCGGGCCATCCAATGTCAGAGATGAAAAAAAAACAAAACACTGAATGGTTCACATAATTCCATCACAGTCACTTTTGGTACCAGTTCAATTTCTGGTACCAAAAAAAACAAAATTAGCTGGGCACCACCCTGCCTGTAATCCCAGTGGGGCTCCGGAGGCTGAGACAGAAGAAAAGAAAGTTCAACACCAGCCTCAGCAAAAAGTGAGGCCCTAAGCAACTCAGTGAGACCCTGTCTCTAAATAAAATACAGAATAGGGCTGGGGACGTGGCTCAGTAGGAGTGTCACTGGGTTCAATCCCCAATAACCACACTCCCTTGCCCCCGGCCCCCCAAGAGTTAGCCAGGCATAATGGCACACACCTGTAATCCAGCAACTCCAATCACAAGTTTGAGGCCAGCCTCAGCAAATTAGCAGGACCATTCTCAAAAACTAAAAATATATAATGGCCTGGGGTTGTAGCTTAATAATACAGTGTCCCTGTGTGCAATCCCCAGTAAAAAAGAAAAAAAATAAATAAATAAAAAATAAAGATTAGACTGCTTCCTGAGAATTCCACTTTTTTTTTTTTTTTTTTTGCCGGTACTGGGGATGGAACCCAGGTGTATTCTACCACTGAGCCACATCCCCAGCCTTTTTTATTTATTTCTTTATTTTTCAGACAGGGTTTTGCTAAGTTGCTGAGGCTGGCCTCGAACTTGGATCTTCCTGCCTTGACCTCCCCTGTCGCTGGGATTACCCGTGAGCGCCAAAGCAACCAGCTCAGACGTGTCTAGATACATTATTGTTTAAAAATGCATTTCCATTTCCATTGCTTGATGAAAGATCTCTTTTCCTTCAAACCTTTTGGGCGTTAAAAATGATACTCGGAACGGGAGAAGAGCCTGCCAGAGGCCAGGTGCGGGGGGACGCAGGGCGCAGCTGGGGCAGGAACGGTGGCGGGAGCTGGGAGCCCTGCTGGCTGTTTACCGACGGAGCCGGAGGCTGAAGTTCAGCCTGCGCTGGGGGCAGAGACGCTGGTCCCGAGGCCCTCCCCCGCCTTCGATCCGCAGGGCGCCCTGTCCTTTGAGCCCGGCGGCTCCCTCCGGGCTGGCACTCTCGCCTTGCGGGCTCGTGGGACCCTTCGGGTGCACTCTGGTCCCGTGGCCTCGCGGGCTCGGAAGCGGGCGGGCGACATGCTGCGTCTGCTGGCGTCCCGCTGCACCCGGGGCCTGGGGTCCAGCGTGCCTGCGCGTCCTGCCACCGGGCTCTGCCTCCTAGGGCGCAGCCCGAGCCGCCGGGCCTCCGACATGCCCCGGAACCACCCGCCCAGCTCCGAGTTCGTGGCCCGGTCGGTGGGCATCTGCTCCATGATGCGCCTGCCCGTGCAGACCTCCCCGGAGGGGCTGGACGCTGCCTTCATTGGGGTGCCCCTGGACATTGGGACCTCCAACCGGCCCGGTGCCAGGTAAGGTCCCCGGCGTCGGGGTTGGGACGTGTGTCTGGGACTGATTATGGAGCGTGGAAGGCGCGCGGACAGACACCCCCGCTCACCCTGGGTAGGTTAGAAGCCGGTGGCCCGCTCCAAAATGGTTTGAGAGACCTTGGATTCCCCTCCTTCCTCCACCAGCCGTCCAGGGCTCAACACGTGACTGGAGGGCTGGTCCTCATCCATGGGTCAGGAAGGGTTTCTGGAGCCCCCTCCTGGGACCTTGCTGGGATGGAGGATGTGGGTACCTTCTCTGCACTCTCCACCTGGCCTTACAGTGGAAGGTGACATTTTGTTTGAGAACAGAAACTGGCTGCCCCTAGCCCAAATCTCTAAGTATAACTGACTGGGGGTGTGTGTGTGTGTGGGGGGGAAGCAAAGAAGCTCAAATTAAGGAAAATTTCTCAGGATCAAATAGAGAAAGTAAAACCCCTTTTCCTAATTATTGAGCATCAGCAATTTCTAATTCAGCTCTTCGAATGTGATTGTAACTGTCTGAATAGTCAAAGTCTTATTTTATTTATTTATGTAGGTACTGGGGATTGAACCCAGGGGCACTTTACCACTGAGTTACATCTCCTTACAAACAGTTTTTTGAGACAGTCTTGCTAAATTGCCAAGACTGGTTTTGAACTTGTGATCCTTCTGCCTCATTTTCCTGGGTCACTGGGATTACAGGTGTGGCTCATAGGCCCAGCTCCAAAGCCACCATTTATTATTTAAATGTAAGGCACTTTGCATAGATTACCTAATTTCTTAGAACAAGGATGTGAAATAAATACCATTATTATCATATGGATTTGGAAACTGAGTCTTGGGGAGATTAAAATATTATCTAATGTCATTTAATAAGTGGTGATGAGTGGGCCCCTAACTCTATGTTTTCATTTATTTGCAGAACTGGGAATTGGACCCAGAGATGCTCTACCACTGAGCTATATCCTCAGCCCCCCCAGCCCCATTTTTCTGAGGCAGGGTCTTGTTTGATTGCCTAGGCTGGTCTAGAATTTGTAATCCTCCTATCTCATCCTCACCAAATTGATGAGCTTATAGGTTGCGCCGCCATGTCCAGCAAATTTGTACCTTTAATTTCTTTAATATACAACCTAGGGCTGGGAGGTACACAGCTTACTTAGCATGCACAAGACCCCGTGTTTGGCTCCCAGCACCGCAAAAAGAAGAAAATATATATAAATGATCAGTGGTTCTCAGTAGGGGTGGGTTTGCACCCAGGGGACATCTGGCAATGCCTAGAAGTATTTTGCTTGTCACAACTTGGGGGAGAAAGTGCTACTGACATCTAGTGGGTACAGGCCAGAGAAGCTGTTAAACATCCTGCAAGGCAAAAACCCGCAGAAGAGACCCGAGCTGGCAAAGCCTGGCCTAGCAGAGAGAGCTTTTGCACCTGGGCATGGGGCTGACAGGTGATTCTTTTCCTCCAGATTCGGGCCCCGACGCATCCGGGAAGAATCTGTGATGCTCCGGACAGTCAATCCTAGCTTGGGGGCCTTGCCCTTCCAGTCCCTCATGGTAGCTGACCTGGGCGATGTGAATGTCAATCTTTACAACCTTCAGGACAGCTGCCGGCTAATTCAAGAAGCCTATCAGAAAATAGTAGCAGCTGGTTGTGTTCCTCTGACCTTGGGTAATGTCTGCTAGGGCGGGGGGAGTTCTCTGGGCTCATTTGTCATTCGCTTGAGTACTGATACTTCTGCAGAAGATGGTAACAGTAGGAAAGAGAACATTCTAATTCCTTTATTTTAGTCCCTGGGGACAGGATATGTAAAATATTGGAGTAGTGTGGCTAGTAGGGCTGGTGGACTAGGGGAAGGCGGATGAGGCCTTTGCTTTGGTGTATAATTTAAAGGATGCCAAAAAAAAAAAAAATCAGCAATCAAAATCAATATGGCAGGATAAATATTACCAATTTTTCTTTTTTGCCTTTGGCTCCAGCATGGCTGGAACAGCATGGTTACTGATCTTGTCTTTATTTTTATTTTTTGGTCATCACAGATTTTTTTTTTTTTTTAATCTTTTGTAAGGTTAGGGGTAGAACCAAGGGCCTTGTCAATGCTTGGCTAGCAAGAGTTCTACCACTGAGCTATCTCTGCAGCCCTGCATTGATTTTGATCTTCAACAATACTGTGTTAAGCCTGGCATAATGGTGCACATTTATAATTCCAGCAACTTGGGAGGCTGAGGCAGGAGGATTATAAGTTGGAAGCCGGCTTCAGTAACTTAGTGAGACCCTGTCTCAAAATTAAAAGTAAAAAAGACTGGAGGTATAGCTCAGTGGTGGAGCACTCCTGGTTTCAATCCTCAGTACAAAAATAAACAAGCAAACAAACAAACAAAAATCTGTGTTAAAATAGGATCGATCTTTTACTAAGTGCTATGGCTTCCTTTAAATGTTATACCCCAGTATGTGTCTCACCATCCCAGGCCCGGGGAAGGCTGCCAGTAGGGACTCCCTGTGACTTTCCAAGGATTTCAAAGACAATGTTCATCATGACTGTGGGGAGAACTGCAAAGGGTGCCTGTCCTGGTCAGGATCCTCATCAACCCGTAGGGTAACTTTCCCTTCACCCTCCTCCACTCTCACTTTCTTATTTCTTTCTTCTCTGATTTGTAAATAGTTAAAATGACACAGAACTTTTTCTAAATATTCCAATTTATTTTTGCCAAATGAGAGGTCCTAGACATGGTGGTAGGGACCTTGGCTTCTAGGTGGAAGGTTTGAAATCTCAGCTCTCCCTTTCACTAGCTGTGTTACTGTATCCACTGGTTGGTGCCTCATTTCCTCGTTGTGAAATGGGCGTAGTAATAATGCCTACCCATTGTATTGTGGAAGAAGTATATAGTGAATGGGCATACAAGATGCCCATCCTACCTGGGCATGATGGTGCATACCTCTAGTCCCAGTGACTCAAGAGGCTAAGGATGATTGCACTTGAAGACAGCCTCAGCAATGTAGTAAGGCCCTAAGTGACTTAGTGAGATTCTGTCTCAAAATGAAAGGGGCTAGGGGATGTGGCTCAGTAGTAGAGCACTTGCCTGGCATGTGAGAGGGTGTAGGCTTGATTTCTGCCACCACAAATGAACACATAAACTGCCCATCATTGTGCCTGGCCTATTTTAGGCTTAAATAAATATTAACTATTGATTATTACTTTTTAAATAATTTTTTTAATATTTATTTTTTAGTATTTGGTGGATACAACATCGTGCTACCGCTTGAGCCACATCCCCAGCCCCAACTATTGATTATTAATATTTATCAATAGTAATACTTTCCTAGGCCTGCACTGCTTAAAGGGGTAGCCATTAGCTACATATTAAGTTTAAATTAATTAAAATATGCAGTTCCTCAGCCACCATATTGGCTAGTGCAGACAGAACATTTCCATCATCACAGAAAGTTCTCTTGGACAGAGTTGTTCTAGGCAATTACTTGTAAGCAATTCAATTCATAGATTCATCTAATTTTCTCTTTTCAGTGACAGTGACATCTTAAGCATCCCTCTACTGACCAAGATCTCTCTTTGGCTGTGTTTTTAGACCTCTAGTCCAGCTGAAAGGGAGGCAGAATTGGCAAACTCGGGGTTATTGCACATGATCATCTTACTCATGTTCCAGATGTTTCTCTATTTTATGCTTTGCAGGTGGAGATCACACAATCACGTATCCCATATTGCAAGCACTGGCAAAAAAGTAAGTCCCAAATGGCTTGGCCAAGTGAGGTTTCAAGATTCAGGAGCTAAGGAGCATTGGTTTGCTGCCAGGTGGTATTGGGTGACTGCTGTGGACTCAGGTTATTGGGAGTGACAGGAAATTCCCAACCAACTTGCTTCTGAGATCAAAGTTAAGGCTGAGGGGCTGGGACTGTGGCTCAGTGGTGGAGCGTTCACCTAGCTCGTGTGAGGCACTGGCTTTGATCCTCAGCACCACATAAAAATAAGTAAATCAAATAAAGGTATCTACAACTAAAAAAATTTTTAAAAAATTAAGGCTGAGCTCCAGGTGTGTCTGTCAGTCTCTGGCCCTTCCCTTGGCCCAGACCTGCTCTGGTGCGTGCCGGGCCTCTCCACTGGCCTGTTGGGGAAGGCAAGCCCCTTGTGAAATACACAACCCCAGTTCACTTTGGTTTCTGTTTTGCTTCAGGGACTGAATCCAAATTGTGACGGGCACAGCAGTGAAGGGCCCCTGTTTTCTCGTGCCAGGGCCCCTTTCACAGGCAGTGTCTTTTCAGGGATGAAGTCAACCAGGGACTGACCAGCTTTGGCTAATTGAGTTGGAGGAGGAGACAGAGGGCTGCAGTGGGTGGCAGCTCCAGAATTAGTTTTGGGGAAGGGCGTATGGGCAGCTTTGCGGCTGGAGGTACATGGAGACAGATCCAGGTTGGCCTTGAACTTGCAGTCCTCCCGCCAAGCCTCTGGAGTTGCTGGAATTACAACTGCCCTGTCCAGCCCTCCAGCCCTCTGGAGGTGCAGCAGTCCTGGAGGGGAG